CGTGAAAGTTGCCACGAATTTCAATAAACACTGAATGATTGCTCAAGCATTTTGACGTTTACTCAGTCGCATGGGTATATTATCCAGAGAAACACGTTTAAAGCGATTTTACCGGATAAAGAGCTTGTTGATTCATTTACGTTTACGTTACGACTAATGAGCATTGTCGTTGATTAATCGATTTGAATAATAGCGGACTGCTGCCTCGTCTAGATCATTTGTCGTTAAATGATCCATGAAAATGTAGCTAAATATCAATGTTGAACGATTTTTCAAAATTCTCGACTTTTGTCACAGCCGCCCTTGCTGCAGGTCTAGATATTTGTGTAGAACCTGCTCCTGATTTATTTTAAAAGTACCGGTACTAACACTATATATATTTTGAATTTTTGGAATACATATACATAAAGCATTCTCTGAAGACCGCACTTGATGAGAATTGGAAAGCTGAAGAAAAACACAAGTAAGATTTAGTAATACATTTAAGCCGATAACTGGCATTAAGGGATTGTGCATGCATCAAATACTCCTGGAACTAAGGATTAAGTTGTTGATTTTTTTAAAAATCTAGGTTTCTCATATTTTTGGAAGCCTTTTACCGTTAAAATTTACGTCAATTGCGTGTGGTCGGTAAATTTTACCATAAAATGCCATAGTCCAGAAAATAGGTTCAAGTTTACTTTTTCGTGAAAGTTGCCACGAATTTCAATAAACACTGAATGATTGCTCAAGCATTTTGACGTTTACTCAGTCGCATGGGTATATTATCCAGAGAAACACGTTTAAAGCGATTTTACCGGATAAAGAGCTTGTTGATTCATTTACGTTTACGTTACGACTAATGAGCATTGTCGTTGATTAATCGATTTGAATAATAGCGGACTGCTGCCTCGTCTAGATCATTTGTCGTTAAATGATCCATGAAAATGTAGCTAAATATCAATGTTGAACGATTTTTCAAAATTCTCGACTTTTGTCACAGCCGCCCTTGCTGCAGGTCTAGATAATTGTGTAGAACCTGCTCCTGATTTATTTTAAAAGTACCGGTACTAACACTATATATATTTTGAATTTTTGGAATACATATACATAAAGCATTCTCTGAAGACCGCACTTGATGAGAATTGGAAAGCTGAAGAAAAACACAAGTAAGATTTAGTAATACATTTAAGCCGATAACTGGCATTAAGGGATTGTGCATGCATCAAATACTCCTGGAACTAAGGAATAAGTTGTTGATTTTTTTAAAAATCTAGGTTTCTCATATTTTTGGAAGCCTTTTACCGTTAAAATTTACGTCAATTGCGTGTGGTCGGTAAATTTTACCATAAAATGCCATAGTCCAGAAAATAGGTTCAAGTTTACTTTTTCGTGAAAGTTGCCACGAATTTCAATAAACACTGAATGATTGCTCAAGCATTTTGACGTTTACTCAGTCGCATGGGTATATTATCCAGAGAAACACGTTTAAAGCGATTTTACCGGATAAAGAGCTTGTTGATTCATTTACGTTTACGTTACGACTAATGAGCATTGTCGTTGATTAATCGATTTGAATAATAGCGGACTGCTGCCTCGTCTAGATCATTTGTCGTTAAATGATCCATGAAAATGTAGCTAAATATCAATGTTGAACGATTTTTCAAAATTCTCGACTTTTGTCACAGCCGCCCTTGCTGCAGGTCTAGATATTTGTGTAGAACCTGCTCCTGATTTATTTTAAAAGTACCGGTACTAACACTATATATATTTTGAATTTTTGGAATACATATACATAAAGCATTCTCTGAAGACCGCACTTGATGAGAATTGGAAAGCTGAAGAAAAACACAAGTAAGATTTAGTAATACATTTAAGCCGATAACTGGCATTAAGGGATTGTGCATGCATCAAATACTCCTGGAACTAAGGATTAAGTTGTTGATTTTTTTAAAAATCTAGGTTTCTCATATTTTTGGAAGCCTTTTACCGTTAAAATTTACGTCAATTGCGTGTGGTCGGTAAATTTTACCATAAAATGCCATAGTCCAGAAAATAGGTTCAAGTTTACTTTTTCGTGAAAGTTGCCACGAATTTCAATAAACACTGAATGATTGCTCAAGCATTTTGACGTTTACTCAGTCGCATGGGTATATTATCCAGAGAAACACGTTTAAAGCGATTTTACCGGATAAAGAGCTTGTTGATTCATTTACGTTTACGTTACGACTAATGAGCATTGTCGTTGATTAATCGATTTGAATAATAGCGGACTGCTGCCTCGTCTAGATCATTTGTCGTTAAATGATCCATGAAAATGTAGCTAAATATCAATGTTGAACGATTTTTCAAAATTCTCGACTTTTGTCACAGCCGCCCTTGCTGCAGGTCTAGATAATTGTGTAGAACCTGCTCCTGATTTATTTTAAAAGTACCGGTACTAACACTATATATATTTTGAATTTTTGGAATACATATACATAAAGCATTCTCTGAAGACCGCACTTGATGAGAATTGGAAAGCTGAAGAAAAACACAAGTAAGATTTAGTAATACATTTAAGCCGATAACTGGCATTAAGGGATTGTGCATGCATCAAATACTCCTGGAACTAAGGAATAAGTTGTTGATTTTTTTAAAAATCTAGGTTTCTCATATTTTTGGAAGCCTTTTACCGTTAAAATTTACGTCAATTGCGTGTGGTCGGTAAATTTTACCATAAAATGCCATAGTCCAGAAAATAGGTTCAAGTTTACTTTTTCGTGAAAGTTGCCACGAATTTCAATAAACACTGAATGATTGCTCAAGCATTTTGACGTTTACTCAGTCGCATGGGTATATTATCCAGAGAAACACGTTTAAAGCGATTTTACCGGATAAAGAGCTTGTTGATTCATTTACGTTTACGTTACGACTAATGAGCATTGTCGTTGATTAATCGATTTGAATAATAGCGGACTGCTGCCTCGTCTAGATCATTTGTCGTTAAATGATCCATGAAAATGTAGCTAAATATCAATGTTGAACGATTTTTCAAAATTCTCGACTTTTGTCACAGCCGCCCTTGCTGCAGGTCTAGATATTTGTGTAGAACCTGCTCCTGATTTATTTTAAAAGTACCGGTACTAACACTATATATATTTTGAATTTTTGGAATACATATACATAAAGCATTCTCTGAAGACCGCTCTTGATGAGAATTGGAAAGCTGAAGAAAAACACAAGTATGATTTAGCTATACATTTAAGCCGATAACTGGCATTAAGGGATTGTGCACGCATCAAATACTCCTGGAACTGAGTAATAAGTTGTTGATTTTTTTAAAAATCTAGGTTTCTCATATTTTTGGAAGCCTTTTACCGTTAAAATTTACGTCAATTGCGTGTGGTCGATAAATTTTACCATAAAATGCCATAGTCCAGAAAATAGGTTCAAGTTTACTTTTTCGTGAAAGTTGCCACGAATTTCAATAAACACTGAATGATTGCTCAAGCATTTTGACGTTTACTCAGTCGCATGGGTATATTATCCAGAGAAACACGTTTAAAGCGATTTTACCGGATAAAGAGCTTGTTGATTCATTTACGTTTACGTTACGACTAATGAGCATTGTCGTTGATTAATCGATTTGAATAATAGCGGACTGCTGCCTCGTCTAGATCATTTGTCGTTAAATGATCCATGAAAATGTAGCTAAATATCAATGTTGAACGATTTTTCAAAATTCTCGACTTTTGTCACAGCCGCCCTTGCTGCAGGTCTAGATATTTGTGTAGAACCTGCTCCTGATTTATTTTAAAAGTACCGGTACTAACACTATATATATTTTGAATTTTTGGAATACATATACATAAAGCATTCTCTGAAGACCGCTCTTGATGAGAATTGGAAAGCTGAAGAAAAACACAAGTATGATTTAGTTATACATTTAAGCCGATAACTGGCATTAAGGGATTGTGCATGCATCAAATACTCCTGGAACTAAGTAATAAGTTGTTGATTTTTTTAATAATCTAGGTTTCTCATATTTTTGGAAGCCTTTTACCGTTAAAATTTACGTCAATTGCGTGTGGTCGATAAATTTTACCATAAAATGCCATAGTCCAGAAAATAGGTTCAAGTTTACTTTTTCGTGAAAGTTGCCACGAATTTCAATAAACACTGAATGATTGCTCAAGCATTTTGACGTTTACTCAGTCGCATGGGTATATTATCCAGAAAAACACGTTTAAAGCGATTTTACCGGATAAAGAGCTTGTTGATTCATTTACGTTTACGTTACGACTAATGAGCATTGTCGTTGATTAATCGATTTGAATAATAGCGGACTGCTGCCTCGTCTAGATCATTTGTCGTTAAATGATCCATGAAAATGTAACTAAATATCAATGATGAAAGATTTTTCAAAATTCTCGACTTTTGTTACAGCCACCAGTTGCCGAAGGTGTAGATATTTTCGTAGAACCTGCTCCTTATTTATGTTAGTACAGGTACTAAAACTATATATATATTTAGAATTTGGAATACATATTCATATACATAAAGCATTAAGTCGCTGATGAATTAGGTAATCTAATTTAAACCAAGGACTATTTTCATTTTTGCAAAGTGCAGAATCCTCTAGTCGTGGACGAACTAGAAGTTTTTAAAAATAGATTTTCAGCTACATTTTACGATTTCTTTTTTAAAATTTTAAGAAAATTAGAACAGATTAGAAGATACTAGTTCGAGGAATTAACTTCTAAAAAATTATTTTTACTATGCACTTTAATTTTTTGAAGAACATAGCTTAGAGCAGAATATAAATTTTTTAAATTAACATTAGTTGGCATGAATTTTTTCAAGTAGAAATTTTTTTAAATTAGAGTTTATAGGAAATTTAAGACAACCACCCCGACAAGAAAAAGGCCTCGCTGCTTTTGCGTAACAATGTCAGCGGTTGAGTGGATTTTTTGGCCCTTCTTCCTCTCCTCATATTTCGCGAAATTTGCAAATTGTTGCGCAGTACAATGGGTACTCACCCCGGAATGCCGCCGCTCTCCATGTGGTTGGCGAGGGTGACATCATTAGACCAGACATCGAATTGCCATTTTCGCAGGCCCAGCACCCCGCAGTGCACGCGGCCCGAGTGGATGCCGACACGCATGTTTACATTGACCCCGGTGACATCGCGCACCAGCCTGCAAAATAAAAAGTGAAACGTGAAAGTCCAGAGTTGTCTCAAGAAATAAAAATCTATTCTTATTCTTAATATAAATAATTGAATCAATAACAAAACTTTTGACACCGAGGAGTCTGCGTTGCATAAAATTATATTAAATTCTTTATCAAGAAATTAAATTTTAAAAAGATTGGCATTGCCAAAATTTTGGAAATTTTATAATTTAAAAAAATATTACAAAATTATTGAAAATAATGCGTTTTTCTTAAAAAAATAAATACTCAAAACTTAGATGATTAATTATCAAATTTTGAATTTCTCATCAAGAAAAAATTTAAATTTCAATAAACTTCCACTTACGAATTAATCTTCACAATAACTTTCTAAGATGATCAAAGACAGTATAATTTTTTTGCAAATTCCATAAAAACCAACATTGAAATTAGCTAACATCAAAATTGTGTATATTTTTGATAAATTTTCAAGCCCATTTTGTTAAAATTGCTGAGACCCAGAGACTGAGATGAAAAAAATTCACTGTAATTAGGCTTCTGACGAGGGATTTTGGGGATTATATAAACGCGTCAGCCACTTTTCCGGCAGAGCAAATTAAATTTTTAACTTGATCCGACAGCTGAATTTTTAAAAGAAATTTCGTTGCTCGGGGCTAAACTGGCGTGAGCGAGCAGACAGTGGTGAGCAAAAAGAGCAAAGTCATTAAAATAAACTCTCAAGTCAGCCAGAAGACCACGCGTGCAAAAAGGACCGAAAGAAAAGGAAAAGAAGTTCCGTCTGCTGTGTGCTCGGTCACGGCCGCGCACCCAAACAACTTTTTGCACAATGCGGCTCCATACAAATGAGAATCAACATCCGACAGTAGATGAATTTTTTAGAATATTCAGAAAAAAGGGAAAAAAGGGGTGAAATTTTTAATTTTTCATGGATTTGAAAGATTCTTAAAATATTAGAAAAAACGACATCTTTTTCAATTTAATTTTCAACCTTTTAAACGAAAGTAAAAAAAAATTGTGTTTTAAATTTAATTTAATTTGAGTATGAAAATTAAAATCGTTTTACACTTTTTAGTAATATTTTCAGCAGATTTCATCTGAAATTATATCTAGAATTGATGGTAAAACCAAAGTAATTTGGTTAAGTTTGTTAAAAAAACTTAATTCAGTGGTCAGGGTTCAGTGCAAGGATTTTTTTTTTAGTAAAATAATGAATTTTTTTTTAAAATAGACTTTAAAATTTGAAAAAAAAAGTAATGCCAAAATTTTCTTCAATTTTGATTATAATCAAATTATTTTTGAAAGTTTTTCGTAAAGACAATGAGATGTAAAAACTGTTGGAACTCACGCTATGGCGTCGATCATGTCAAGACCCATCTCGACGCAGCACTGCGCGTGGTCTGGTCGTGGCTCGGGCAGGCCGCTGACACAATAGTAGCAATCGCCGAGCAGTTTGATCCGCAGACAATGATGTTCGGCAGCCAATCTGTCAAATCTGTCACGAGTGTTGTTGACACATTTAGTGGTTTGTCCGCAGATAATGCCAATCAATATTTAGACACACAAACACATGAAAGGCTTGGCACGTAACAAAGGGGAGGAAATTATTCGGCGCTTGCTTGTGACAGCAAACTTGTTACGTTTTTTGAAATTTGAAGACAAAATTTGGGCTAAATTAAAAAAAAAATGGAAAAATAAGGTTCATTCAATTTAATCCATTTTAAATTATGAAAGATTGACCTTTGGCATCTTTTTGTCAAAAGTTTATATAGTTTTAATTACTCGTTAAAAATGAGATTAGTATTCAATATTCAATAAGAATATTTTAAAATAATAATACTTAAAATCATTAATTTTCTAAAAACAAACTAAGATTCACTTAAATGTAATAATATAAATTATTATAATTTTATAAAGTTTTACTTATTTTATATAAAAGTAATATTTAAATTGCAGATATTTATTTATGAGCTTGAGACACAATTAAATAGAGTAAAATAAATAAATATAATCAAAATTTGTTCTAATTAATGTTCCTTAATTAATGCCATTACGTTATAACTTAATTTAGGAGTTTTTATTATTAACTTTTTTTATAATATATTTTTTTTTTAATTAAGTAGATTTATTTAAAAGGGTCTTTTCTCATTTCAGTCATTCCAAAATTATGTATAGAAATTATCATTACCTGGCAAAAAGCTCATTGAGCAAACACACCAACTCCTCAGCCGTGCATTGGTCAGAGAGACTCGTGAATCCGCAAATGTCTGCGAATAAAATGCTGAAATCAAATTGTTGAGTGCGCAGGTTAACTCGGTCTTTATTGAAAATCACATTTCGACAAAATTATCAACAATCAGCACAGCCGAATGAATTTTTCGCAGATCAATATCAAATATAATTTTATATTTCCGTGTTTGTCGATTTGCATATTTGAATATATGAATGAGAACGAGAGATTCTATTTTGGAAAGTGTTATTTATGTGGAATTTCGCGCTCACCTGACGTTCTCGTGCCGCTGGATGTAGATTTTGTGGAACATGGAGTCGGTGGGTTTTCCGGCGAAGTCTGCTTTCATCTCCATGGCTACGTGACGCGGCAGCACCGACAGCAGAAGCCTCTCCTGGTTGAATCCAAAAAATAAAAAGTGTCATATACGTATACGACGAGAGAAATGTTTAAAACAGATGCACAAGCCAGAAAGGGCTTTGATCTCTCGTTGAAGCTCTCGGCGTAATATAGAGAGAGAGACAAGAATGTCGAGGCACGTGAAAATGTGCAAAAAGTGACAAATTCAAAGCAGGTTTAAATCCCATCAATCACATGTTCAGGTTTTTTTATGTTTGAATATATTTTGGTTGTGACTTGGATTGCAAAAAATGTTGTAGATCGATTTCGTTTTTGGTTTTGAATAATTTTTTTCTGAATCGTCTCTTTTTGATCCTAAAATAGCCATTTTTACAAACAGTTTTGAAAGTCAAATGGACTTAAAAAATTACTGCATTCATTTTTTATTTTCAGAAAGATTACCAAAATTATGTGATTTTGCACCCAATTATTTATTTTTTATTGAATTTTTGGCATTTTAAGAGAAAATATTTATTTTAAACCAAAATTTTCAAAAAATCTGCCGTTTACAAACTTTATTTTTGCCAATAAATCAACCTAATTTTAAATAATTCGATATGAAATAAATTTATTCAGCAATTTTTTGAAACATTTTATTGATTTTGTCTGTTACGAGGGTTGCAGGTATAAACTAGCTGCGACAGTTTCTTTTTTTTCTTGCAAGGACGTTTTGTAAAGAGAGCATCTTGAGGCTCTAATTAGTGCAATGAAATGTCGAGCAAAAAATTTATCAGATCGGATGCAGCGCGAATCAAGTTAAGCGTGTAAACAGCCTTGGGCCCTTTTCTTTGCACTGCTTTTGCTCTCTTCTTCAGTTTCTCTCGCGTCAGTGCAACATCAAACAGGGGCACGTTTCCTTCCTTCCGATTAATCAGCACCGTCGACTCTCCACCACAATTTCAAATGCAGACTTAATTGAAACGCAGAGTCTGTCTTGATTAATTTTGCAACCCTCTATACGTATGGATCGCCGAGGCGTTCGATTATATTGAAAGTGGGCGAGTTCGTCCTTGGAAGGAACACGATTTCTATTTTTCTCACAATCAGTAAAAAGAAAACAGAATTTAAAATTGAAGATATTGACACAGCACTGAATATTTTTCTAAATTAGAGTTGACAAAAAAAATAACGATTTTCTGATTTATTTGACTTTTTTATATTATTTCCTTAAGGCGTGTAATAAGCTGAAACTTTCTCTGGAGCTAAATTTGCTCTTTTTTTTTATAAATTATTAATTACTATAAAACGAAGCAAATGATACGCAACATAGCATCAAAAAAGATCTGATAATGAGAAGATTTTCATGCTTTTATAATTAAATGCTGAAAAAAAATCTATATTGATAACCACTGCAGAAATTTCGCCTCTTATGTCTTTCCTCCTATTGTGAGTTCACAATTTAATTTAAAGAGGTTTTAAATTAATTAAGGATAATAAAATCAACGGATATGCATTTCTTTAACAAATCAGATTCTTAAAATATCCGACCAAAACATCCAGAGATTAACATTTTAGCAAACCGGAATCAGACATTGCAACCGATTGTGAAGTAAATCAGTTCAAAAATTGCATGGAAATGGTCACTTTTAACTCTTGACCTTTGGTAAATAAATAACGTTAAATTTTTATCTCTACAGACATTTTAAATAATTTAACGGTGAAACTACAATTTTTTTTAGAAGTTTGAGTCGTTTTCCTCTCTGTCGACGCGGACACACATCGTTTGCATCAAAGAGTTTCATTTGTCAGTCGACTCATGTACGTGTTTGTTTGTGTTTAACAAACGAAGAGAGAGAGAGAGCGACTCCCAGGAGAGTCCATTTCAATACGAGCCGGACAAAGCTGGCCGGGGACGGACGACACTCATGATCGGGAATAATAAACATGTGTTGCGTAGGGCAAACAAGAAAACAGGTCGCGCGCGTCTCTTGTATGCGAATATGTGTCCATCCGCCCTTTCATTTGACACTCGACCGGCCACGTCCTATTTGGGACCAATTATCCGCGTCCACCACACTCTAATTTGCAAATTGCACAGAGACGGCGATATTCGCGTGTTGACCGATCTGCTCACGAATTTTCCGACTAACTCGCAGTTTTTCTAAAAGGAAAATTATCCAAAACACTATATTTTTTGGGGTAATTTAATTAACAAGAGATAATTTAAATTCATACGTGTAATATTAAATGAGCTCAAATTGATTTAAGTTTATCTTCCAAATTTTTAACTTCAAAATATTTAGAATTTTTTTGCAAGTTGTATGTCTAATTGATAATAATTTTAAATTATTTAATTAGAAACTAGAATTTTGTACTAAAATTTCATGGCGCTTAAATATTTTTTTCCATTCATCACAAAATGCAATTGAAAAAATTTAAAATGATTGGTTTAAAACCTACTTACTTTGGGAAGGTTTAGAACTTTTAGAAGAAACGTTGTGTCTCACCTGTCGCTGGTTTTCGTGCAGCGTCCGAAGTCTCGCCTCGATGCACTGCCTGGTCTCCATGAAGGCGGTCCTGCGGGCCTGTTCCCCAGGGAAGTGCGTCAGAGCCCCACAAACGATCGCACCCAGCAGCAGCAGGCCGTCGGTCAGCAGCTGAAAAGCAAAGGATCAACTTCTCAGCAAAGGCTCTAATCTTCTAAAAATTGAATCATGAATTCAGTCTTATTATTTCAGATGAAAAAAACTGAAATTTTCTGAATAGGTAAAACCAGCTCGACAAAACGCCCTGGAGCATTTTCGGATGTGGAAAATGAACAACAAAGCTTTCAAATCATGAATTCCGTTGGGAACAGAGTTTGCAGGAAACTCTTATACCTGGAAATAGGTATTTTTAGTAGCAGCATTTGCAGCAGAGGAAAATGTTTACATATTTTATGTCGGCACCAGTTGGAAAGTATAGTTAAATTATTAATCCATATCGAGCTCTACACTATATGAATTAAAAATAGTCTGATGTTAATTTTCTTGTTACTTGCATTAAAAAAGCCTAAATTATAGAGCTTCAATTTAATTAAAAAATTGTAATTTGTCTATTTTCGGGTCAAATGTTTTAGATTTTTCTTACTTTCCCTGGCCTCATTTGTAAAATATTATTAAACTGTTTAAAAACTGAGTTTAAACTCAGTTTTTAATATCATAATTAATTAATTAATTGTAAGTGAAGATCCGTTCTCGTCATCATTCCGTTTTTACTGCATTAAATGAAAATCAATGTAGCTTTTCCATCAGTTTTATCATTTTTGAGAGGAAATTTGCTTTATATTAAAAATAAAATGTAATAAGGTAGGCAACCTGCACATCAGCTCTGCCCTGCCAGGTTGCATCGACCTCATTACGTGCTGCATGTTTATTTAATACCCCTGCAATTCTGCAAAGTTCGCTAACCTGTGTGTACATTCAAGGAAGCGCGAATCCTCGGGGAAAATTCATTGATTGTCCGACCGACCATGTGACCCGAGAGAGAAAGATACGAACTAGCGTGATGGCCTGAAAGTGAATAAAATACGAGTGGGCGGTCGAGAGTTGAGTGGCACTTCTTGAACTTCCTACACGAGAGTATTTTCGTTCCAGTCACAGAAATTATAGATCGTTTTATTTGCCAACGGAAAAAAATTCAATCAATCAATCCCTTTTTATTGTTCTGCATTCAAATAAACAAACAAAAATGCAAAGAGGATTTAATCTGCTTGACCTACTAGTTGCAATATGCGCATGCAAATGCGATTAGAGCCACTTGTGATACGTTTTCCAATCAAAATGCAAATTGCAAACGCCTCTCTTATGCCTGGATTGCAAAAATTGTAATATATGAGCACATTTGAGATGTTTAGACGAATTTTCGTTGTGTCGAAGTTAATTTCGTAAAATCAAAATTTTGCACAATTTGTTATGGTTGACCTACAAAGAAAATATTTTTCACAAAATAATTTTAAATAAATTATGAAGCTTAAATTATTAAATTGTAATGTGTTGATTATATGATGTATGCTTTTTTTTGTTCCTACTAATTCAAACGAACAGAGAATAAAGGAATAAAATAAAACTGCACAAAAATTAAAGCAAAAGCTTGTTGGTAAATTTATAAAAAAAAAATCAATAGTCTGGAAGAGTGGTTCAAGATCAATTTTATGAAAATTTATATTACATAAATGAATGCAGGTTCATTGCATTCGTTGATAATTAGCATAAACAGATTTTTTCCAGAGAGATTCGAATAGAACGTTATGTCATCGAAAATGGCTTGCATATATTTGCATTTAGTCGTGGTTGAGTAGCATTAATTGATTTTGTCCCAAAGTTTTGGTTTAGTTCGTTTGATCCACAAATTTCACTTCTATTTTCAATGTTAAAATTTATATTTTTCGAAATTCTCGATTATTGTTCAAGTTGCAAACGGACTAATTTTTTAAGAAATAGACCTACCACATTGATTTTCAAAATTCACGACATATCATATTTTCTGGTCATTGAACTGCAACACATAGGTTAAGACAACAGACCATACTTATTTTCAAATTTAACGATCAATAATATTTTTGGGTCAGTGACATGCAACAAACTTAGACTATAGGTTTAGACAACAGACCTTACGAACCTTGTGATAAGGTTTGTTTCATTTAGTCGTGGATGAGTAGCTTTAATTGATTTTGTACTGACTGTTAAGTTTAATGGGTTTTTTCGAGAATTTTCAATGTTTAAATAAATTTTTTCGAAATCCTCGATTATCGCTAAGGTTGCCTTAATTCAATGTCGGCTACACCCTTTCTTTAGAGAAAACTTTAATTAATTTTCTTTAAATTATGAATTGCTTTTTTCCGCTGTTCGTGCACAATCTCAAAATGATGTAAAAATTCTAGTTGATGAACAAACATCATGCACAAATAATAAATTTGTTTGAAATTTAAATAATATTTATCTTTTATTCATTTTCAAAATGCATTCAAAGCGTCTTATAATTAGTTTACAATAATTTCCAAGCCTTTGAAATTTGTAATATAAAATACGGCATTTAGTTTAAAATGAATACACACTTGCAAACAACAAAAAGGGCTCCGGTTTGTATTCATAATTTCCTTGTTGTATTAGAAGCAGTATAAATAAATTGTTTAAATACATTTCCGAGCCTCTGCACTCTGGAGTTAATTAACGGACTGTTTGCATTGGATCGCGGTCACACCCGGATCTGCACGTATGACCACGTCCTGTGTTGCAGCAGAGTGCAGCTATTTCTGCAGTGACCTAGGTTTGAATGCGGGCAGCAGTTAATTAGTATCGGTTTTGCCGCACTATAAAAGCAGGTTGCGAAACAAAACGTGCGAAATCCGAGCTGCGACAGGCGTGTTTCGTTATTCTTTGAAATTCGGCACTACATCAAAAAGGCGGATCATCGGAAAGTTTCGCCTCTCGCAAATTGAAGCAATAATGAATTTTTTTCCCGCTGCTCCAATTTCACGGAAATGCTGCACAAAGCACGTCGCTTTTTTTTTCCTCTACGTGATGTAAATTTTGATGTTTTCCTCCCACCGTAAATGTTCGAGTGAATATGTTGAACAATAAAGCTATGGTAGAATGTTATTAAATTTAATTGCATAAGTGGTAGAAATTATTTAGTAATTCCATCCAAAACTCGCAGTTGTGATCAAATTGTCTTTTCCTCAAAACAATATTATTATATAAGGGGGGAAAACTTGGTGCCGAGGCTGACGTTGACAACGCGGAAGTTTCGTTGGTGGAGAAATCAAGCAATAAATTTGATGAGACAGATTCCTAGAGGAAGAAATTCTTCTCTTTCCACTAAAACAACACATACTCCGAATATAAACAGCGATTGCCTCTGTGATAAATCAATAAATATAATTTGCAACTAAGTCAGATTTTAAGCCAAAAATATTTTTGATTGATTTTTTTTTATTACATAAAGTTCGGAATTCTAAGATTCCCCAGGTCTTTTCTCACAAAGATAATTCGGTAAGAAACTCAGCAATTAATTTTTTTCCGCAACACAATCGTAGAGGATCAAATTTCAATTTTTGTCAGTATGGATTATCCCCCCCCCCCCTCTAAAGACAAAAATATGTTTCAAAGTTATTTGATATTTCATTTGCATTGACGTAAGCAGAAATACAGAAATTGCTTTCAGGAGGGGAAAATTTTCCAAATATCAATATTCTCATCCAGGAGCAATCCGGGTTATCATTAATCATTTATCTTTCACTCTCTTTTTTAAGAAGAAAGCTTATTTAAAATATTAAGTTTATATGAAATTTAAAAAAAATTGGACGGCAAATATTGAAATCTTGTGATTGAACAACCAGAACACTCAATCCTCGTTTTTTATGTGTCTAATTAAAATTCAACAAATTGTTTACATTCATGAAAACAATTTTCTTTGATAGATAATTCTTTCAATATATAGGGTATAAATTCTCTAACCGATAAAAATTTGGAATTCAAATTCGTTTCAAGAATTCAGATGGGGTCTTTTTGGCCTTAGAAGTTTTAGCAAAATTCTTGCTAGTTGTGGTGCCTTTTTGTCCAACAATTTCTTTTTTCTAAAATAAATGTTTTTCAACAATTTGTTTGTTAACAATGTGATGTAACAATTTGGACAAATTAACAACAATAATAATAATAATAATAATAATAATAATAATAATAATAAATTGAAAATGAAAGGTTATGCAACCCGTTTATGCGCAGTGTCGGGCAGGTTGCCTACCACTTATTTAAGCGGTTCGGCCTTGCTAATTGGAATTTGTTACGTGTATAAATATAGTTGGCTGCTAAACGCCAACTTTTCCTCCTCGTTAGAACATCAGAGTGAGACCGCGAGAGAGAGTTGCGTATAATCATCTTTGTATAAAAGTTTGCCCGAGGAAGAGGACGACTCATTTGCTGTAATTTTTTCTCCACGCCGCTCTGGGGAGAGACAATAATAATGCCTGAGAGAAAACTTTGCTTTTTGTCTTTTCTCAAGGAGCTCAAGTTTCGCACCACTTTTCTCTCAACACGGAGCGACGGAAATGCAAAAAAAGTAAGGAGAAAGTGTAAAAAAAGTGTCACAACAGAATGAAAGAACGGACGACGACTTTTTCCTCGTCTTTTTTTTTCAGCTGAGTGTAATGCGGAGGGCCATAAATACGCCTCCAAATTGAGCTGCAGCGAGGGGAGAGATAAGCGGCCTCCGTTGTTGTTGATGTTGATGGCCCTTCTCGCGCAGCCCCTTAACGTACGGCTGCTTTTTTACGTCGGGTGTTTATTCGTAGGTGCATCAGAGCTTGAATTTCGCCGCTCGTGTTTGGCCGTTTATTTATTTATAAACGGCAGCAGCGAAAACGCGTGGGCGCTCGTCGTTCTACAGGTAGGTGTATTTATTTAAGTGCACGTCAACGTTTCGCACGTGCAAAAAGCGGAAGGAAATTTCCCTGCTGCTTTGAATTCCAGCCAGAGCAAAAATAGCAAATATTATTTTTGAGGAGAAACTTTCAAATGAGATTATTCAGAGTTTATTTCCTTTACCTCAAATTTTAAAAGAAATTTTTTCTCATTTTAAAAATTACTGACTGACCTTTTGCACGGAGGTTTCCTCCAGGGTGAGGTCGACGGCGACGAGGTGCACGATTGTGAGGAGGATGGAGGCGATCACGGCCTCGAAAAGGTGGACGGGCAGCATGGCGAAGGTCAGGAAGACCAGGGAAATGATGGCCGAGACCGAGTTGTGCGGCGTCAGGGCCATCAACAGGGTCAGCCCGACGAAGGTGAGCATCACCACGTACGAGGCGGCCATCAGGTACAGCTCGTTCAGGGACGGTTTGGACAGCATGGCCAGCAGCGCCAGGTAGACCAACATGCAGGTGATAAGCACCGAGCAGGCCAACAACCGCGGGCCTAAAGTGGGAAAACGATTTTTTAAAATATTGAACACAATCGAATGTAGAAAAATTTAATTGCCCATTTGTCAAAATTATATAAATGCCATAAAAAATTCAATAAAATTGTCTTTTCCTGAGGGTAATATTATTTTACTAAAGAAAAAAACTGGATGCCAAGGCTGACGTTGACAACGAGAAGTTCCGTTGGGGGCGAAATCAAGTGATAAATTGAATGTGACTGATTTCGAGAGAAGGAAATACAGGAAAATACTTCTCTTTTCTGATGAAACAACAGATGTGACAAATAAAAACAAAATAATCATGTACGATTACGACCACTTACAAAATAACTTATTATAAAAAAATAAGTGGTTTTTTCTATTATTATAAATAAATAAAAATATTAGCTTAGGAATTATTTATTCCTCATAAACCTTTTATATTAAAAAATCTTTGGTAAGAAATTTAATTGTAGCAATTAATTTTTCTTGAGGAAAATAGAAAATATTCATTAAATGATAAAATGAGCATTTTTTTCTAAATTTGCGGGTGAAAATTTCAATATTCAAAATGTAGACAGTGCTAAATTGACCAAATAAAGTTATGTTATTTCTGAAAATTACTTCAATAGAAATGTCTTTTTCCAAAACATTTACATTTTTTGGTCAGATTGATTCCTCAGACCTTTCTAAAGAGATTTGGCACGCATTACAATCGAGTTCAAGTCAATTTAAAATTGGTAGAGAGGGAAATCTACCAGACCAATCAAATTACTAAAATTATAAAAATATGAGTTTTCTTGGAGATACCTTAACTTTTTGGTCACAAATCAATCGTGACCTCATTCGAATGCAATGTGTGGATTGCTTGCAAGTTTAACAACCGTAATCGGTGAAAAACATTAAAACGGCTGATTTTAAAAATTTCTAATTTTTTTTTAATAATATTGTTTATTATCTGTTTAATAAAGTATAAATACTTTGAGTTGACTTATATTTTTAAAAACATTCTCGGAAAGTTCAGATTTTCCAATTTCTCATTTTGAATATAACTCAAATCAATTAAAAAATCCACTTATTTATTTACCTGAATTAAGAAGCACGATGAGGAGAAGGACGGACGATAGAGCGACCAGGAGGACGAGAAGGTGAATTAAATGGCTCTGGTTCATTCTGAGGAAATATCGCTGATAAAGCATTTCCACCTAGAAAAAAATAAATAATTGTTTTTTTTTTTTTTATTAAATATATTTCTTCTTCTGTTAAGTCGTACACATGTTGTGTTCAATAAAATTTTCTAATCTAAAAATAATATTTTTTTAAAACAAACAGCAAATAGAGAATCAAAATCAAAAGTAAAAATAAATTATAAGAAGAATACAAATTATATATCTTTTTGCAGTTAAAAAGGCTATGGAGGGGGATGTGGATTTGCTGTAGAGATTTAAATAAACGCACTCTTCTGCCACACAAAAATGTGGGTGGAAAATTCCAGCTAGCGGCTTTTCATTCTGCCGCCAACGCAAGCACTTACGAGACCACTCACCTCTGGATTTTCAAATCCGCGCGAATTCCACGCCTTGCCCAACAAGTATTTGCATCTCTCCCAGAACGAGGCGTGACCGAAGCCGAGATCGTCAAATCCGTTCAAGGCCAGCGTGTTCTCGTCCTCATCTTTTGGCTTCAACAAAAATTGTAACAATGCAACCCTCAAAATTACATAACATGTAATTTATATTATTAAGAAAAGTATCATTAAGGAGCCAAGTTGCGTAAAAAAATTAAATAATGAAATCTGGTCGTTTCAATATCAACAAAAGCCAAAATGTAGGTGTCTTAATATTATTTTAGTTTTGTTTCATTAAAAATACAAAAGAAAGAAATGCTAAATTATCGCGAAATTCAAGTAATTTAGATCAGAAAACGAGAAAATGGATCAAATGGAAAAAATAAACGACTCAAATTATAGTTTCATATTATCATAATTCAGAATATTTTTGGATAGCAAAAGCAAAAATATATATTTATCAAGAAGAAAAAAGTAAAAAAAATTAATGAAATCAGTTTTAGAAATAAGGTGCAAAATAGAAAATTTCAATCGTGGAAATTTTGCTACCACCAAACATAACAGTATAATGAAGGACCATTTTGAATTAATTAATTAATCAAAAGTGATGAGCGCAGTCGAATACGAAACATCCCTATTACTTATTAAGTGGCCCAGCCGGAGCTGAAGTGGCCTTCGAGGGCTAAACACGTATTGTTTGTCTACACTATGCAAATAAATTGATGTTATTTTAGCAACGCGATCGATGCGTCCATAAAGGAATAGAAATGTGCCTATTCCGACATTTATAGAACTGATGATATTCGGCACATAAACGTCGATAAACTAGCATGAATAAAATTGTAACTAAAACAAAAAAACCATTAAAAAGTTATATTGAAATGGTAAAAAATGAAACTTGAAAGTTAAAAAAAAAAAAACGTCGAAAAACAACTTCTTTGACAATTCTGTTTTCCTTAAAAATATTTTAGTCAAAAAAATATTATAATTTTATTTTTTTAAATTGAATATTTTTACCTTGAGTGTGGAAGCGATGAGTCCAGAGGAGGCGTTGAAGTGTTCGATGACCTCCCAGTTGGACTTCTTGGGGCGCTGCAGGTTGGTGCTGCTGGCCGAGGAGTGCGGCGCGATGGACACCATGCTGCCGGTGCTGTTGGCCGACTCGACGGCCGTCGAGGTGCTCACGCGGAACGGGTGCCGCAGACTGCGGGACCGCCGCGTCTTCACCACCGTGTTGCTGCCCGCCGCCATCTGGGCCGTCTGCAAAATGCACGAGTCCAATCAATCGATGAATTTCGGCGATCATTTCATGTATTTTAAAATAGAGCATCAATGTTAATTTATATGTGTATTTTTTATTCTGATTTGATTGATTATGAAGAAGGTTTCATCAAAAATAATAATAATAATTTTAAATAAGCAGAAATATATTAACTCAGAAGTTGTCTTTTAAGCACTTTTTAATTAAAGTCTTTTCCAACCAAAAAATTAATTTTATTCAATGCAAACAAAAATTAAAAAACTAAAACTTTGGGGGAAAAAATAATAATTATTTTACCATATTTCAAATTTCAGATGCCAAGTTATTTAAAATGATTCCATCTTCCTTTCTCTTAAAACCTTAATAATATTTAAATCTTGGGGAACATTAATTAAATATATTGCTTAATAATTATCATTAAATAAGAGATATAAATTTCAAATTTTTTTTAACAAGAAGATCGAGGCAAAAAGTGCACAAATTTCAAAAAAATCTTAAAATTAAATAGCGATTTTATTTCAATTAAAAAAATATTATATCTGGATTTACTAAATTGAAATGGAAATTAATAAAAATAATTGGAAACAAGAATTCTTGTAATGACACGTTTCCTTCTATATTTAGCAGTCGAATCATTATGCAAATTATTAATCACGTGGCAGTGCGTCTCTCCCTGCTTCTACAAGAATCCTAATTGGATAATGAAACGAATTGGAACATGCGCCCGACGTCGGATTCTTCAATTACATCGCCCCATCAAACTTAATGCATAATTGCCGAGAGGCTAAACGAAAGTAAAAAAGGGGTCACGAAGTTTGCAGCCTCCCGAGCAAATGATCACGTACGTATTTAAAAAGCGAGCGGAATAACCTCTGATGTCATTTTTCATTTCTAAGAGGACTTTGTCACCAGAGGAGATAAGCAATTTCCGTTTCTCTACAAAAAGCTCGAGGGTCGCAGTTTTTTCTCCAAAATTTATTTAAAAAAAAACCCAGCCTTCTGTTGATAAAAAATTTTTCATGGATTTCAGTTTGTCCTAAAACGTTTGCTCAAAACAAAAGTTGTTTGTTCTTAAGACAGATGAGACGAATTTTTAAAATAACAACCATTTTGTAAGGAGTCATAAATTATGAAAAATATTAATATCTCATGCTCATTTTTTACACATTCTTTTAATATTTCGCCGAATTAAAAAATTGTATTTTTGCAAAATCATTCTAGAAAATTTAATTTAAACTTAATTTCAGTTTTAAACCAAAAACTTTCAAACAGAAGAAAATATTACAAAAAGTTTGAAAGTAATAAATCTAATTTTTACATAAATCAAAGTATATTTCAAATTTGATCAAATTTACTCCATCTAATAAAAAGAATATTGAGCTGAAACCTTCACGTTCTTTTTTTTTAATGTATGGCAACTTTGTAGAAATAAAATTCCTTAAAAACCCATTTTAATACATACCATTTAAAAATTGTTTTACATTTAAGGGTACATATATATTTGTAAAACTTTCACGGGTAATTAAAATTAGGTGAAATAATGAGCTCCCCTAAAAAAACCGAGTTTACATAACACCATGATGTCTTCTCTTTTAACAAACCGCAAGTTGTCCTCGGATTTTCCCCTTTGACCCTGCGATGCCACTTTTGTAAGCTCTGTTTTCATCTTTTAATAGACGATTTTCCGTCTCGCTTTGATGTAGACCCCGTGTTTTTCCGCATGACGAATCTCGGCAGCTGCCGCCCGACGAGTTTCCAACCGACAGCAAAACTTTGCCAAATTCCCTCCTGTTGCTGCCGACAAAGTGCAAAACAAACATTTTCGCCACTGCGTGTGTTCTTCTCCTCGCAACTTGAGAGGGCGCAGTTTGCGGACGGATAATATACGTCTTCGCTCAAAATCGAATTAGTTTTTCATTCTCGGCAAAAATGGCACCCGCACTCCTTCTTCTTCCTCGCTCTAGCAGACGAAAAACTTGCTTTTGTCAGTTTGGGGTCCCACATTAAGCCCAAAAACTGAATAGTTGGAAATAAGTTATATCTAAAAAGATGAGTAAACAACATAGAACTTGAGTAAAATATAATAATTAGTGAAGTGTTTTTGTGTAGTAAAATATTTTTTCCAAGAGTCAATAAATATTTTTTTTATCCGTCCAAAAAAAGTAACTTTCATTTTATACATAATAAGAATGTTTCTGAGAAAGTGAATTTTGCTACGTCAATATTACTATTTCTTTAAAAACAGTAATTAAATTTTTAGGTTATTTATCTAGAAAAAAAAACACTTGGTGGTTAATTAGAAAACCTAGAAAACTGATTTTATACTAATCTCCTTAACAATATTTTGATATAATCATTCAAAAATTTGTTAGAAAATGTCATTTATAAATAATTTTTTATTCTAAAGACAAAGTATTGATTTCTTCTTTTTATCAATTAAAATTTTATTTGATGACATTCTATTTTTGGGCAAATAGTGGTGACCTCTATCAATTTTGGTGTCGTTTGTTTTCCCGGAAAAAGTGGCAAGACAAATAGTGTCGGAGAGACTGCTTTTAAATAAACTTTGCAGACTATTTGAGTACAGAAAGATTCGTACTCGGCCCCTCAGGGAAAAGTATGTATGATTCTTTGTTAGCTCTTCTTCTCGTCTCGTCATTTGCACTCTTGCTCGGATAGGTTGGTGCGCCAAATGTAAATTGAGAACAAATAAAGGGACGTGCCGAAAGAAAAATAAGAGAAAGTTGGCGGTGAAAATTATGTCTGGCTGAAAGTAATTTATTTCTGCATCTTAGAGAGCGAATCGATTCTACACAAGAAAATTAGAAAAAAAATGAACGAGAGGGAGTCGCGGAGCTGGAATGAAATTTAGCGAGATTGGTTTCTTCATGGGACATCAATACACTGTGATTGAATTGAAAATTGGAAATAAAATGTGAAAAAATAACGAAAAAGAAATATAAATCTATGCCTTTCCCAAATTCCATCAATCAATGGCGGTAATTTCATTAAATTTTCATAAATTTTAAGTCAGGATTAACAGGTTTACTTAACAGCGCTTCTTATTTTGTGTAATAATAATTCGCAATCTATAAGGTTAAATCTGGTTGAAGTAACGAAAAAATTTCACGTTCAATATTTAACTAATCGTAAACTTTGGGTGGAGTCGACGCATCTATCTGATTTTTTTTCAATCTCAAAACCATCGGCTGGGAAATTCATTTTTTAAATACAAATCTCAAGTGACATTTTACGACAAATCGCTTTAGACGTAATTAAAAAATCATGCTGTTTAGAACGACAAGGTGTTCTAGTCGTTTTTCTCTGGCATGATGGCCCACATACGTTTCAGGCGCATTGTCGTAAATTGATACGTGAATTTTATATTTGAAAATGAATTTTCAAAATTCCCGATTAGTTCTCATCTTGCAATTGGACTAAATGTTTTAAAAATAGACCACCTACATAAATTTTCAAAATGAGCGACTATCGAACATTGTGGTGAAGCCGAAACATTCACTTTCTGGCAAGAAAATTTAGACCTTTGGCTAACTGAGGAATAATCGGTTAAATCGGTAATTTTGAAAATTCATTTTTTATACAAATCTCAAGTGACATTTTACGACAAATCGCTTTAGACGTAATTAAAAAATCATGCTGTTAATAACGACAAGGTGTTCTAGTCGTTTTTCTCTGGCATGATTGTACACTTACGTTTAGGGGCTTTGTCGTAACTTGATACGTGACTTTTATATTTGAAAATGAATTTTCAAAATTCCCGATTAGTTCTCATCTTGCAATTGGACTAAATGTTTTAAAAATAGACCACCTACATAAATTTTCAAAATGAGCGACTATCGAACATTGTGGTGAAGCCGAAACATACACTTTCTGGCAAGAAAATTTAGACCTTTGGCTAACTGAGGAATAATCGGTTAAATCGGTAATTTTGAAAATTCATTTTTTATACAAATCTCAAGTGACATTTTACGACAAATCGCTTTAGACGTAATTAAAAAATCATGCTGTTTAGAACGACAAGGTGTTCTAGTCGTTTTTCTCTGCCATGATTGTACACTTACGTTTAGGGCCTTTGTCGTAACTTGATACGTGACTTTTATAATTGAACATGAATTTTCAAAATTCCCGATTAGTTCTCATCTTGCAATTGGACTAAATTTTTTAAAAATAGACCACCTACATAAATTTTCAAAATGAGCGACTATTTTGATTTCCTATTGTTTGCACGAGCATTACTTGATGAAAAACTACATTTGAGTAAAAAATCAACGTTTTATGACATGTATCTGGGACTTATTAGTCCGTTGAAGACATCAATTTGCAAAATGTAATTCTTCAAAATAATTTTGCAACTGGAGCTCCATTTCAGGACAACTTCAGATGATTAATTTTTACATATATTTCCTCTCAAATATTAATTGCGAGCTGTAGATCATTGTTTATGTTCATATAAGCACCTCAATCATCGATTAACAATATTAAAGCGAAGATCCCTCACAAAGAAATCTTCACGGGCAGGGCCAATGGGCCGAAATATTTCGAAAAAACAGGATTATCGCTGTGGAGTCCAAGCATCTTTCTGCTTATTTTCTGAATATTTCAAAATCATCCGCTTGGAATGGAATTTGAGTGTCGTTTATTTGAAAACTTTGATTTTTTCTAGAGATACGTGGTTAAATTTGGCAGAATGTTAGTCCTACCAGTCCTTAAAAAAAAAACAAGGATCAAATTTCACATTTAAAATATGCGACTATCGCAAAAGCATGCTATTGCAAAAATAAAGGTCTTTAGGATTAATTTTTACGAATAATAATTGCTTTTAAATTTACTTTATAATCTATTGATAATTGAATATGTTCATATTAACTCTTCAATAATTGATTTACAATATTGAAGCGATGAGCACTCCAAAAGTACTCTTTTCGGGCCGGGCCAATCGGCAGAATTCTTTTGCCAATATGTAATTATGTTAATTTAT